TTTATAGTGGCTGCTTTTGAACCCCTATACTAGTCCATTTTTAAAACCACAGTGAGGTACTTAAGGCAGGCTGCTTTATTACAGAAGACATTTGTTTCGGCTCAACATTCTAGAGGTTTAGCAACCCAGATAGATGCATTGGCACTGATGAGGGCCCCTTGGCTACATCACACCATGGCAGGGATCTGTGTGTCTCTTCTTATGAAGCCACTATGATTCAATCCTGGGGCTCCACTTTAATCTAATCTGATTGATCATTGTTTGATCGTCAGGGCTTGTGTAAAGAATAATTACATACAGAACAGAATAAATACATACAGAACTTACAATATTATTTCTGATGGTCACCCAGAGTTAAATACAAGATGGTGCATGAAATCTGTCCACAACTCTAAAGACCTAAAGAATCCAGCCAAGGGCCTGGATCCCACAGCAATGTCCTGCATGAACCCAGCTGAAGACCTAGAGCCCATGACAGTGCCTCCCACGAGTCCAACTAGAGTCACAGAGCCCACAACAATGACTCATGCAAGTCTGTTTCACAGATCTGTGCTGAGAAGGCCCAAAAGTCAGTGGTGGAAGCTAGAAAGTTTAGCCAGCAGGGTGAAGGAGCTGTGCTGGTAGGCTGAGGGTTCTGCAGTGGAGCCAAGAAGTGACTCTCAAAATAAGGATGAGGGCCCATCTGAAAAGTATCACAGCCACCTTCAGCAACAGTGAGGTTCCAAGCATCTCTGACGATGAGAACAGTCTAGCACATGTCAGCCAGCGTGACCAGCTTCTCCAGGAGACTGAGCAGCGCACATCTTCTCTGGAGCCAGGAAGTGATGCTCAGAGTAAAGACCAGAGCTCCCCCAAAGTGAACTACAGCCACTCTCAGCGACAAGGTCCCGAGCTCCTTGGATGAGAATGACCAAATTCATATTGGGGAAGCCATCATGACAGGCTCCTCCAGCAGAACCAACGGGTCCAAACAATGACACTTAGGAGAACCCACAACACCTCCCTCATCTTCTCTATGTCTCTTTTTATGCTGGCAACTTTTCTCAGGAGGGCCATCTACACTCAGCACCATGCTAGTTTAGTTCAGCTGAAGTTGACTGCCAGTTTTTAATCCATAATGATCACTTTCCAAAGACCTCACCACTAAGTGTTCCCAATGGAGTGAGGTTCTTTTGCTCAGTTGGATAGAAGATGCAAAAAGGCAAAGTGCATTTCCTTTAGTGTTAGCAGTTCTGAGTGCCAGCAGCTTTCCCCTCACTGCTACAGCTCCAAGCTTTGGTTTTGGCTCAGCTGTTGCTATAACCCTGTTACCTAGGTGTCAACCAGTGTTATCAATCCTCCCAGCTGCCTTCAACAGCCCTGCAGCAGCTGGAACTTAGAGCCCCTGCCACTTCCTGGAGCTCCTCCAGCTGCGCTTCCAGGCTCTCCTCTGCCTTCTCTGCTGCTCTCCAGAGCTCTTCAGGGGCTTGGCCGCTCAGTGTTCTCAGGACAGGCTGCCCTCAATCCCCTGTACCAGCGGTAGGCATCACACGTAAGTGGAAAAACTGTGTAAGCAGGCTTGATGCGTCAGCGAGAGGGCAGTGAATGGGACGGAGGCCCCAGCAGGTCTGATGATGGCAGTAAGAGGAATGCTGTCCGTACGCGCAGGAGGGGAGGGCCCACGCATGTGATACCAGCCTGCTCAGGTGCAGTGGGCCCGCCAGTCCCGGCTGTCACTGCTCGGGTAAGATGCTTCCAGCTGACCAGACTATTGGGTCAGCTGCAAGGTTGCCAGAGGCATCCGGAGTAGTTATGCCCCATTGCTGAATGCTGCCCCCAGTAGTTCACACACACTCCCATGTCGACCTGCACCATGGCTGCATTTGTCTCACGACTTCAAAGGCTGTCTCACCCCATCTCTTTCGGGAAGCCACAAGCTCTGTCTTTGGACTGTTGCAGGGATGTTTGGACTGTTGCAGGAAGCGAGCAGGAGGCAGTGTGACTAGAAGGTAAGGACATGGCAGGAGCAGCAACAGCAGCAGGCAACTCCTTCTAGAATGTTCTGGAAAGAAAAACAAGTACGAGACAATCCCTGGAGGCCAGTGTGGGGCAAGGAAGATGGTGTCTGGTTCTTTGGAGTTTGCAAGCCGGGTTCCATGCTGCTGCTGCTGGGCCAGTGCGCTTTCTGAGGTCCACAGAGCCTTCTGGGAGACCACATGGTGGCTTCCCTGTGCAAGTTGTCGCTACCTGGACGTCCTGGTCAGAGGCAGTCTGGCTGCATCTGGACCACACTGACCACACTGACCCTGTCACAGGAAGTTGCATCAACAGATGGGAGAATCCGTTCCCTTCTTTTTCCAACCATTAGGCATTTTAGAATGATTAGAGGGAAAACTAAATTATTACCAATGTGCAGTCAGAGACCATTTGTCAAGACTTTTTATTACAGATTTATTGCATATTCTCTTTGAGGTGTTGTGTGGGGTCATTTGGAGCGTGACGTCTGAGACATGGTGTGCTCACAGACATAAGTCCTACACTATATTCCATAGTTTCTTGGGAAGCTTTGAACAGGTTCATCATTTATTATTTAATGGTTCAAATTTTATTGTGCTTCATTTTAATTATATAAAATCAGCTTCCATGTGGCCGCCTCTTTTCCTGCTAGTTTCTGCTCTGGTGCCCTGCAGATGCTACACATACTGCTTTCTGTTGGGGGAGAAAGAGGTTGGAGAAGCATTTTCCCAGACAAGTCTCCCAAAGAGGTTTATCCTACAGGTTTTGTCACAAAGGAGGAGCCCTGCTGCAGGTCCCCCCAGGACTGCGTCACATTTTGGGTTAGATTAGCATTCAGTGTATACTTTATTATGACTGCTGTTTTCTTTCCTTCCAGTTTCTTATTTCTCTCAGTTAACAGTGTTTTTGATTTGTCCAGTTATCTATTAATTCGTTACCCATTTAATCCCAGACCCTCTCTCTGCTGCTCGTCCAGATCCGAGGGGCTAATAACCCAGGTATCGGTGGGTCTGTGCTCTGTAGGCCTCTGGTAGTGTGGGTAGGGCCCATGAACATGTCTGCCATTTGTGCTGGTACAGCGTGGGTTGGAAACCAGTCAGTGTTTTTGGATTTGTCCTCTCAGGCCCCTCACATGAGCCACAGATGACCTGTCTGGGGGTTGCGAGTCCACAGGCTGGAAGCAGAGCAGGCAGGAGGGGGTCTCGATGTCTGCTGGGTTACATCTGCTTAGCCCACCTGTCGCCAGACGCAGCTTCCTGTGTCCTGCCCTAGAGGCACTTCAGAAAATAAAGCTCCTGCCATCTGGGGAAGGGGCAGAGGGTAGAGGAGAGGGTCTCAGGACCAAGCGCTGCTTCCGTTATGTGGTTGGGAATAAACATAGATTCCCTGAGTTATGGATACATTACCATCACTGTCACCATAGTGACAGGACAGCTGTCACCTCAGGTAACCGCCCCCCCCCAACAGACCCGGATGGGTGATTTTCCCTTCCTTAGTTTTGCTATTCATAGAATGACATATAAATAAAACCATGCAGAATATAGACTTTAAGTCTGGCTTTTTTCTTTAACATGGTTTGAGATTCTTCATGTAATTGTTTATACCAATTTTCTGGGTTTTTTTTTTATTACTGAGCACTTTTTCATTGTATGTAAAGGCACCACCACAGTCAGTAGTGTGTTCACTCCTCTGTTGAAGGATATTTGAATTATTGACAGCTTTTGCATTTATGGGTAAAAGGACTACATATGTTGTGTACAGGATTTTTTGTAAACACAAGTTTTTGTTTTCCTGGTTGACTACTTAGAATTTGGATTGCTGGTTATGTGATACTTACATGTTTAAAGGTATAAGAAACTGTCAAATTGTTTTTCCGAACTGCTCTACTATTTGAAATCTTACCAACATTGGAGGAGAGTTCTCCTCTTCCTTGTCAACACTTGGACTTGTCAGATTGCCTTCACTTTGACCTTAGCATCCTGGTAGGGGTGTAAGGGATTCCGTTGTGGATTTACCTGAGTTTTCCTGATCCCAGCGGTGCTGGGCCTCCTGACTTTTCCTCTTCTCAGTGTCTTAACTGTGTCTTTGGCAGAGAAGACATTGGCAATTTTGGTGGGACCTGAAGGCTTTTGTTATTCTTTTTTTCTTTCTGGCACTAGCAGTGCTTTTGGTTTTGTCTTAAACTTACCTAATTCACAACCCCAAGGGTTTTCTCCTAGAAACGATGCCATCTGAGTTGTGCAGGTCAGTTTTTTGTGTGTGATTTTTACATACGAGGCAGCGCGTGAAGTTCCTGGTCTGTGCACCGGGTGCCAGGGCAGACAGGGCCGCTCCTTCGTGACTAAACTGCACTTGCGACTTTCACACAAGGGACTGAGCTGTCAGCTTGCTTCTGAGTCCCTCGCTTTGTCTGGCACTACAGCTCCTCACTAACGGTGCACTGGTTTGGTAGCCATGGTATTGGGTTACAATTGAGAGCGCTCAAGCAGTTTCTTTTCTCAAATGACTGTACTTGTCCGAGTTCCTGAGCTTTTCCAAATGTGTTTGAGAGACCATCAACTCCTGTTGAGATTTCGGTGGGGATTACGCTGAGTGTGTAGATGACTTTGGGTGGGAGAGATACTGGGGTCCCCTTGAGGAGCACTCGCCCCGTGACCTGACTCCTGTCCACTAGGCCGTCCCCTCCTTGAGTTCCCACCACAAGCAGTGGAATGCCCAGGACCAGGGACACAGCTTCGCACCTGGCCTTTGTCAGCCCTTCCAGACCCCTTGGTGGCCCTGCCATTCCCAGTTCAGCGGTGCTAGATTCCATGATTGTGACATCTGAATGCGGACAGTCCCTAAAGGGCGGCGGTCAAGTCTGTGATACTCACTTTTGACTCTCACATGAAGAAGTGCCTGCCAGGAGGGGTTTCTCAGCTGGTAAGTCTGTTGTTCAGAAAGAGCCTTCTAGGGGCAGACCCGGAGACGCTTTTATTTTAACAGAAGCCTTCCTGTCTTTTCAGACCCAGATGCAGAAGTGTGTCTCCACGCCCTGCGCCTTGTCCAGTCGGTGGTTCTGGAGCCAGAAGTCTTCTCCAAGTCAGCCTCCGAGTTCCAGCACTCACTGCCCCTGCAGCGCATCCTGGCCATGACCAAGAGCCGAAACCCCCACCTGCAGGCCGCGGCCCAGGAGCTGCTGGAGGACCTCCGTGCCCTGCAGCGCAGCGTGTAGCCCCCGCCCCCCTGCAGCTTCCCCGCCTTGGGCTCAGGATTGCACCTGTGACACACACTAGAGGGCAGATCAGCTGACTAGAGATGGGCGTGAACAGATGTGGGTCCCACGGCGCTGCTCCTAGAAGTGGCACACGGAGTAGCGAGTAGTGTCACTCTGGCCACAGGAGCCTCAGAACGCTCCATCCTCCGCCAGGGCCCAACTATGCTCCCAGAAGAGGGAGCCCATCTGTGAGCTGGAACCTCAGAGGCGACACAACCATGGAGCTCGAGGTTAGCATCATCCTGAGAGGCCTTTCTCTGAAAAACGGCTCACTCTGTCTCTAGTCATTGGAATTCATCCCTCCAGACAAGGGTCCCCTTTATCCCCTCCTGGTAAACCTATTCCAGATGACATCGAACATTTTAGCTCTCTACTTTTCATGCCTCTTTTACTTTTGAATAAAGTCAGAAGAGTCCATGCTTGCAGTGTTGTGCTGTGAAATAGGAACATGACGCTCAGAGGCTGGCGTCTATGTGCCTGTGGCAGTGAACACATTTGACTGGGAGAGCAGACTCTCCGCATGGTGCTCTGGCCCTTTGGTAATGCACTGAGCAGACCAGTTTTCTTAGTAACCAATCAGGGAAATGGCCGAGGCTTAGAAGAGGCGTAGAAACTTTGGATTCTGGGCATGGTGCTCATGCTTTTCCATGTCCAGAGTGTGTGTACCATGTGCCAGCTGTGTGTGTGCACCTTGTCATGCCTCTCAGCTTGTGTCCCGGGCTGCTGGCAGAGGACAGAGGAGAAGGCGTCTTGCCTGTCTCCAGCACCAACACTGAGAGCACTGCTATGCACCTCCTGGGCCCTGCAGTCACAGCTGGGGACCCAGGGCACCTGCCTGTACCAGTGAGCATGGTACCGCAGGCCTTGGCGCTGGGCTTCTCATAGGACTGAATGCGAAGGCATTTCCAGCCCACACCGTGGGTGTGGGGCCACTAAGTCACTTCATCTCCCTTAAGTGGGTTTTCATGGGCACCGTGCAGCTTTGGGTGAGGCTAGATGCGGAGGGCAGAGGTGGGCATGGCCAGGCCTGAGCGTCCTACACCACCAGAGCTGGAGGGGAGGTGTCGTGAAAAGGAGCCTAAGATGCGCGGGGCATGCGTGCTGTGCGCTGCTGCGGGGCTCGATTCCTGGCGCAGACAGCGGGCCCACTGCATCTGTGCTGTCTTCGCGACTGCTGTTTCTGAGGTAGCGGGGAAGCCGGAACGACATGTTGTCCTGCCTCCAAGACTGCGGGATTTTCCCACCAGAGCTGGGTGGCAGTGTGCAGAGGGGAGACGCCAGGCTGCAAGTGCCACAGGTGTGGTGGCAGTAAGTACAAGGACCTTATCAGCTCCCTCAGGAGGGACAGAAGGCAAAGCCTGGCCTGGCGCCTCCCAGGGAAATACAGGGTCACAGCAAGGGGCAGCAGCCACCGCAGTCCCTGCCCTGGCAGTGAGATGGGCTGGAATTGTGGCCTCTGTGGCTCTCATGTTACTGTGAGGTCCTCAGCGCCGGCGAGCACGCGTGCATTACCTCCAGGTAGAGGACAGGAAATGGGAGCCTCTCACACATGCTGGTGTGAGCTGCGGGATAAGAACAGTTTGGGTCCTTTTTTTTTTTTTTTTTTGTCATTTTTAAAGGGTGTTTAGTTTGTGTTTTGTTTGTGTGTTGTTTGGGTGGAACCCCGGGCCTCACCTATGGGAAGCAAGCACCGAGCTGCATTCCCAGCCCTTCTTTGAAGTCTTTAGATGAGCCTGACATAAAAGTGTCCCACTTGAATCATTGGAGTGTGGAATTCAGTGGCTTTACATATGTCCCAAGTTTGAGGAACCATCGCCACCGTTTCCCGAACCTATCTAGGCAGCCTGAATGGCTCTACCTATTTAATAACCTCCCCATTCTCGAGACTCTTCCCCTGGGCCTGGGGGCTCCTGTTTGTCTGTCTTGGGGCCTTGACTGTTCCAGGCACCTCGTGTAAGCCGGGAAGCACATGGGTCTGGCTTGTTTCACTGAGTCTGCGTAATCCCGTGTGAACGGCCCATGGGGTGTTTATCCACGCATCTGTTGGCCACTATAATAATGCTGCCAGGAATGTGTGTGTACAAGTGTCTGAGTCTCTGCATTCACATCTGAATGTATTCCTAGGAGTGAGTTGCTGGGTCCTATAGCGTTCTGTGTTTAACTTTTCTTCCTCCTCCTCCTCCTCTTCTTCCTCCTCTTCTCTTTTCCCCCTCCTCCTCCCCTCCCTTCCCCCCCCCCCCTTTTTTTTTGTTTTTAAACAGGATCTCACCACATAGCCCGGCTGGCCTTGGAGTCGCAGCAGCCCTCCTGGCTTGGCCTCTCAGGTGTTAGGACACCTGGCTTGTGTCTAATTGTTTGAGGAGCTGTCAATCTGTTTCCCACAGGAGCTGTACAGTTTTATATTCCACCAGCAGCCATGCTCCTCCATACCCTCACCAGCGCTCTTTATTTTATTTTATTGATAAGAGCTGTTGATAATGGGGTCTCTGGCCCATACTTAATATGCGGAATTTTAGCCGTGAGTATTGCCCTCTTCCCAGACAGCCACACAGGAATGGGGAGGTAAGAAGCCATAGCTGGGGTCTGTTTGTGAGTTGACCCCGAGTCCTTTGCGAGCTGGGAAGGCTCTGGTCAGGGACATGATTTGTACCTTCTGGGCAGATGAATGTGGAGGCGGGGTCCCAGGCTGTGTGCTCTCCCGGGACTGACCACTGCATGTCCCTACCTGTAACCTGCCCCGTTGGGGTGTACCCACCACCTTAAGTAGCCCACATGTTATGTAAAAGCACAGTAATCTGCTTGCATGTCCTCTCAGGGAACAGGGTGAATCTCTCATGGTGGCCTCTGGGGAGCCCCAATTCTGCAGCCACCAGCCTCCAGTTACCCGCCCACAGTGGCAGCCCCTGCTCCTAGAGAACTGGGCCCTGGGGAAAGCAGGCTGCCGGCAGGGCAAGGCCCAATGCCTTATCCCAAGGAAGGACTTCTATCGCCACCCCTTGTCACCCTGTGAGAGGTGAGACAAAAGGCTTCTCCATATTTGGCAAACCCAGTGCAGAGCCAGGGTTTGGTCTTAGAGGCTGGAAAGCCTGCTGGCACTCACCATCCATAGCACAGTCCTCTTTCCTCCCTCTTCAGAGCCTCACAGGGGAGACCCAGGCATCAGATGTGGCAGAAGCCAGCTGTTTCCAAAAAGGCCCTGGGTGGCCTTCAGTTTGGGGCAGCTGACACTCAGCAGTTCGCCTCTCGCTGTCTGGATCCAGGGCTGTCATGCTTGTCCAAGGACCCAGCGAAGTGCGTCACCATTTGGGAGGAGGTCTGGGCCATCTCAGGCAGCATCCTGTCTGCTGAGCTGGAAAATTTAGAACCCATTCAGTATTTTCTGAGATTTCCCTCCCTCAAGTGACTGGAGTTAGAGGACCGTCCATACCTTGGAGGTGAGGGTCTTGGGGCTGTGGAGCACTCCCAGATCATGAGCTCGACAAGCCCTGGTGGAGGAGGAAATCCTGGCTAGGCACAATCAGCTGTTCCTCCCAGCTGGGCTCGTGTCTGCCTTTTCCTTGACCTACAGATCCTGAGAGCATTGGTCCTTGGCTGTGTGGAGACATGGGCCACTTGAGAGTCCAAGCGTCCCCTTACCCAGAAATGCACACAGGCTCATACCCGCCATGTTGGGAGCAGGGTCTGCAGTCTACAGGGTCCCAGGGCCACCAGCTGTGCAGTGAGCAGCCCTGTGCCCTGTGCCCCAGGACTGTACTTGTAGAACATGTGGGGCCTGCTGCTGTGCCCAGCGCACCTGGAGGTGCCTGGGTGCTGCAAGCACTGGGCACTGTCTTGGTCTCCAGGAAATGCAGGCTCTGCAGTGACCCACGGCCAGCGCTGGGTGCACAGTGCTGGCCTCTTGTTGGGAGTCAGAGTGGGGCCTACAGCTCATCCACTGCCTGTGTCTACCCAGTGAGGCCACCATGGCCAGTCACACCCTGTGGGTAGAGACGCCGGGCCCAAGTGGCAGAGCTTCATGTTGCACCTGTACTGCTCTGCGGTGACTCTTGGTCACAACTGGTATCACCCACCCTTCCTTGACCTGTGTCCTCACCTGGAACCCTGGCTTCCTGACTAGGAGATGTCCTGTCCCTGGTGCCTGGAGGGCTGGCCACTGCGGTTTAGACCCCTGAGCCACCAGCTTCAGCCACCAGCTGATAGCCTGATGGACTACAGGCCATCAGCTTGAGAGGGAAGGGGTGGGACAGGCCAGTAGCCCCAAGGCAGTGACCCCTCGGCTCCCCACCTCACAGGCGCCATGGCTGCGCTTAGAAAGGATGGAGAGATGCACGTTGGTTGTCAGTGTTAAACACAGGTTCTGAAAGGGCCGCTCAAAACCTGCAGGTCCACTTTTTAGTTGACATTTATTGTGTCTCAGGAGTTCCCAGCTCACAGGTCACTGTCGCCTGTCTGACCACTGCCTGGAACAATCGAGTATGCCTCGTTTCCAGTGTTTCTTGAGGGTCCACCTTGCTGAGGGAAACCAGGCCAAGAGCAAGACAGGCCCTCCCCGCCCGGGGCCTAACCGCCAGCTCTGGTGCAGCCAGGCCGGAAGTGCAGAGGGGCAAGGGCAGGCTCCTTTACCACAGCGCGCGGCTGCTGTTTCCACTCCCCTCATTGCATAGCTGGTGCTGCTGGGCGGGGTAGTGGCTGAGGCTGAGATCGCCAGGGGCAGACGGCACAAAGTCCTCAGATGTGCATTTTTCGGCTCCAGTGCTCGCTCTGCCGCATCCACGCTGCCATTTGAGCAGGGACTGCTGTAAAAGGCAGGTGCACCCGCTGCCTGTCTGCACTGTGCTGGGAGGTTTTCTTTTCCCTGTGAGTCACCCACCACTCTTTGCCACCCAACCAAAGGCGAGTTGTCCAGTCCGGTGCCTCGGTCAGCATCTGACGCGCCCTCTCTGCATGAGAGGAGGGACCGCTCCTCGCATGGGATAAGATGTCCCACCCTGCACGTGGAAGGCCAAACAGAGCTGTGGTACGGGAGAGTGTGTGTGCTACCAGCTTCCTCCTCCTCAGAGCAGGTTGGTGACCAGAGAGTGGACACCTGGATGGCTCAGTTGGGCTGCGGTCCTGCCCAAAGCAGCAACATTGCAAGTGCATGGCTCTGTGTGTGTGTGCACATGTGTGTGTGCACATGTTTGTGTATGCATGTGTGTTTATGCTTAGATGGGCTGCTGTGTTGTGTTGGGAGTGTTCGTTCTGAGTGTGTGTGCATAGCTGACCTGTGCGTGCTGAGTTTGGGGGGGTAGGTTTGCGTGTGTGAGGTTGTGCGTTGGCAGAGCATCTGAGGTGTGATACATGCTGCCTTTGTGTTTGCTGCGTGCTTCAGGTGAATGTGCGGCATGCAGTGCTTGGAGTGTGTGTGTGTGTGTGTG